TAAGACCACCAACGATTCGTCATTTTTAAGTCTCTCAAGAATAAATATCCATTCATGGTGTGGGTATAGCAACTCTCCTACAATTAATTTCGATTATGGATATATTTTGTTAAGCTTTTTTATTAACTTATTTAACAGACAGTGTTATTCGAACAGTAAAAATTCGCATATTTCTTTGTACTATTATGATCACAGTCTTGTTTGTATAAGCCTGTACGCTTGCTCATATGACAGCCTGTGTGCATATCTCTCTAGCTTAAACGTTAATCGCTTAAACATCGCTCGATAAGTCATTCTCTTTCCCATGTATATATAAAGTCAAATTCTTTTATTAGTTGTTGCCTTGCCTAGCTGCACCTTAAACGATCTGACGATAAAATCGCCTCTGTATTCACTCACACACATATATTAGCCTCTTTGCTCCAAATTCGCTCGATGTGTTGATAACTTTGTTATCTGTGCTATTCGCTAATAAACTGTAGTCGCCGTTTCTTGTTGCCTGCTGAATTCGAACACTTTTTGGATTTATATGCTAACGGTTATCAAGGTGATTGATTAACATGGGCAACTGAGAAGTGACAAACGCCCTCATACCTCTAACGGCACCTGAGATCATCTTGTTGACAATCGAATCCCACCTTCACCTCTTAAGAATTCTTCCGTCCCCACGACTAACCCTTCTCATATATGTCTTTATCGCCACTTGCCACCAATGCTGTAGTTTGGTTTCACAAAATGTTATTCTTGGTCTATTGAAACTACAGTCTAAACTGCATGTTGAAGCTTTTAACGTTCGAATTTTGTGTCTGATAGGATAACAGATTTATTTAGATGGGACAATGGGGTCTTGCGTCATCTATGAATACTGCGTCTCCGGAACGTACATAGAGGATCCAAGTACAGTCATTTGTTTGACCTTACATTGTCACTATAAATAATTGGGACGTATTACCCTTTGAGCATCTAGAGACCCTACTGCTACTTCAAGCGGCCTCGCGCCTGTAGGTATGGCGTTAAGTTCAAAAGCACAGCGGGTTCTATTAGAATGGACTTCGATAGACAGTCGTTTGTGCGCTGTCCGACTAAAATGGGACAGTAAGAACTTGAAAAGATAGGGACACATGCCGTTGCCTTTTTGTTGTCTCTTTCTACGCCTTCACTGATTTCAGCTCGAATGAAGTTAAATATGGAGTAGTAGCAGGTGATTCCATGCTCAAGTAGGTAAACTAAACTAAACCGAATGGCACTTAGGCGGACCTTAAAGTGTTGCAGCTCAGCGAACATATAATAGAGAGCGTCTGTTACAACTATGCTCAGATAACCGTCTGTCTCTGGTGAAAACCAACTTCGAACGTAAGGAGAAAAATCATCTGACGTGACGACCTTCATAATGGACCCATCGATGGACTCAAATAGATCACATAGCTATTAACTATCGTTGAGGGGGGGGCTCGGCTGTAGACTGAGGCTTAATGTGGACAACATATTTAGACTTGAGTCATGCTCTAGTTCGAGCAAGTATTTGTCTGTGTATTAATGAATGTAGAAAAGCCACAACAAGAAAACTCAATAGAGTTCAACGTAATGATGGAAAAATCAAGGCTATATTTCAGGAACAATCAACCGGGAAAATGATGACAACTCCAAGGTAGCTTGACATGAAATCCAAAGAGCTGTGAATACAGTAGCGATATCTACTAGTAACTTAAATTGAAAAATTAGGAAAAATCAGTGGATGTCAGGGGCGCCTACAGCACTGATAGGTGCCCGTGAACTCGTCTCGTCTTGTTCTAAGGAGCTGAGGAAGCTTCAAAGTATGGTGGTAATAAGCTTACGTAATGATCGTTAGTGGTAGTAGCAAAATCAGAAGAGATGGAAAAGGTAGCAGCGATAGGTAACAGTAGAAAACCGTTTAGACTTATCAAGGAAACGGTTACTGAAAATCCGTTTGTTAGTGGAACTATCTCGGATAAATACGAGACGTGTTTACTCTTAACCTAGGAGGTTGAAGTGATGAGCAGAAAACTTAAGGGAACAGTTCAACTGGGCTTCAGAAACACTTCGGAGATCACAACTGATTGATCACTGGGTGGTGATCAATTTCATGCTTGTCTAGTCCTTATTAGTGCAGATCGAATGCTATCGATCATGTTGCAATGTGGCCACCAGTCTAGGTGACACTCAACTATGAACTTTATATGAGCGTGTGCGTGTATCTTAACCTATTCATCACATGGTCTAGCTTCAGTTGACTCATGATCTCAACAGTTAAACTACTGAAATCTCCACAAAACCCTCTTCTGACACGTCTATAGCTTATTTTTGTGTGACTATAAATATTGGTTGCGCTTGATTAAATCGAGTTAGCTCCCTCACCTTGTTTATTGCGTGTCATTTTGTTTTAATTCGCTTTCCTATCATCGATTGTACAAAATCTACGTATTCAGAATCCATTCTCATATTTGAATTGTTTAATTCCGTTATTCACTAATGCGATTTA